CCCCCCCCCCCCCCCCCCCGCAGGAGCGGATGAGTCTTAAGCACCAGAACAAGGGAAAGTGGGCCCGTTCCAGGGCCATTATGGCTAAGTACGACCTGGAGGTGAGATCACAGAATCACAGAGGGGTTTGGGATGGAAGGGACCTTAAAGCCCGCCCCCATTTCCACCCCCTGCCCTGGGCAGGGACACCTCCCACCAGCCCAGGTTGCTCCAAGCCCCCTCTAACCTGGCCTTGAACCCCTCCAGGGATGGGGCAGCCACAGCTTCTCTGGGCAACCTGGGCCAGGCTCCCACCACCCTCAGAGTGAAAAATTTCTTCTTTATGTCCAACCTAAACCTGCCCTCGCTCAGTTTAAAAACGTTTGTCCCTTGCCCTGTCACTACAGGCCTTGGAACGAAGTCTCTCCATCTTCCTTATAAGCCCCCTTGTATGTTGAAAGGCCACAATAAGGGGTCTGCAGGGTGGGGAGGGGGAGACAGCCGAGGTGGGACAAGGGGGGTGGGGATGTTGTTCCTGCTCTGTGCTAGAAACCTCTCTGTGCCCTGGCAGGCCCGCAAGGCCCTGCAGGAGCAGCTGGCCAGGAACAAGGAGCTGACGCAGAAGGTGCAGGTGGAGCTGCCCAAGGAGGAGCTGGGTGATGCACCCGAGGAGGACCTCACGTCGGTGACAGTTCCCACCATCCCCACGGGTGCTGGTGGAGCCAACCCCTGGATGCTGGGTAAGCCCAGTGGCCCGGCCGAGGAGCCCGAGGCGCAGGAGTGTCGTGAAGACGCTGCGGTGCCTGGTGCTGTGGAGAGCAAGGAGGTGGAGGAGGAGGAGGAGGCGGAGATGTCAGAGGAGGAAGCTCTGCTACAAGACTTTGAGCAGAAACGACAGGCACGGCAGCAGCGGGCAGGGAGCCCCGAGGGACACGGTGAGGAGCACCCAGCCCTGGGGTCAGGCAAAGAAAAAGGGGTCGTGGGGGCTGTTTTCTGACCCACTGTCCCTCCTGGCTCCCGCGTGGCTGTTTCTCACCCGGTGCCTCAATCCGTAGGTGCTGATGAGACAGAGGTGGTTGCTGATCTACCCGGGGACAGCCCCATGCACCCCGTCTGTGCCGAGGAGCGGGCGAGCCTGGGGGTCGAGCAGCCCCCCCAGGGGCAGGAGGAGCCGCTGCTGTCGGAGCAGCTGGGCCGGGTGCGGACGATGGAGGACATCGAGGCCCTGGCCTCGGAGGAGCATGTGGAAGAGCAGGAGAAGCCAGTGGCCCCGAGAGCAGGGAAGCGAGCGCAGCAGCAGGAGAAAGGCAGAGCAGGGGACAAGTGTGACAAACCAGCAGCCAAGAAGAAGAAGAAGAAGAAGGAGATGATTAGCCTGCAGGCAGTGCTGGATGGGAAGCCCCAGGAGGCTCAGTGCCCCAGCCTCCCCGTGGTCATGGAGGAGGAGGTGAGTTGATGGGATGGGCCTGTCCCTTGGTCCCAGGGCAGTGTGGGCTGCAGGGGATTGACCCCTCTCCCCACAGGAGGGTGGCATCGACCAGAGGGGGGTGATCACCGAGGCCTTTGCCGGGGACGACGTGGTCGCCGACTTCCGCCGGGAGAAGCGCAAGGCGGAGGAGGCCGGGAAGCCGCAGCCGGTGAACCTGGTGCTGCCGGGCTGGGGCGAGTGGGGAGGCTCCGGGCTGAAGCCCAGCACCAAGAAAAGAAAACGGTGAGTGTGGAATTGCCGCGGCGACGCGCCTCAGCCCGGCACCGGGGCTGATGTCTCTGCTCGCCCGGCAGGTTCCTGCTCAAGCCGCCCCCGGCGCCTCCCAGGAAGGACCAGCACTTGCCCCACGTCATCTTGAGCGAGAAGCGCAACATCCACGCGGCAGCACATCAGGTGGGTGACACCATCCTGTGCTCCAGCACCCAGGCTGGCCCAGAACCTTCCCTCACCCTTTCCCAAAACGTCCTGAATCCCTGCCCGGCCACGTAGTTTCCAGAGTTCACAGCCCACAGGCCACCAGGGTGGTGGAGGGAGGAGGAATTTGAGGGACTGCTCCCTTGCTGTGCTCTGCCAGCCCCTGGGGTCTGCTGGAGGGGATGGAGTGAGGTGGCAGCACAGGGGGAGCAGGTCCTGGAGGAGCAGGAATTGGTGTGGGATGAGAGTGGCCCCCCCGCTGGAATTGCCCCACGGCGCCGTGTCCCCACAGGTCAACGAGCTGCCCTTCCCCTTTGAGCGGCACCAGCAGTTTGAGCAGAGCATCCGGGCGCCCGTGGGCCCCACCTGGAACACGCAGCGTGCCTTCCAGAAGCTGACAGCCCCCCGCGTCCTCACCCGAGCCGGCCACATCATCCAGCCCATCTCCGCCGAGGATGTCCCCGAGGCGGCCACCGCGGCCGGCCCCGGCACCAAGCCAGCGCTGGAAACTCGGCCCAAGCGCCGGGAGCTGCCCCTCCGCCCGCGCCGCAGAGCGCGGTAGCCCCCCGTGTCCCTGGGGCTGGGACTGGAGCCAGGGGAGGCTCCTGGTGGTGTCCCCGGTACCTCCTGCCGCTTCCCCCCGCAATAAAACCAGCTCCTGGGAGGCTTTGCCTGCGCCGTGCGGTGGCAGCGCCCGGCCGGGGACAGCTGTGCCCTCCTGCCTGTCCTTGGGGCCCGGCCAGGGGGGCTCTGCCTGCCGGGACGTGACCCGCGCGCTGCGGGGGGGCTGGGGGGGCGGCCAGGGGCTGGAGCAGCCGCCAGCGCTCCCGGGGGGCTGGCTTCCACCTGCCCTGGGGGGCTTTGTCTTTTATACCCCCCTTTTTTATATATAATATAGCGTAGATATTTCACTTTATTTTTTAACCTTGGATAAAGGGGCTTTCTCACAGCCCTGGGGGGCTGAGCTTGGCCAGGGGGTGCCCCCCCCAGCCCCAGAGGACCCTCTGCCCGACCCCATCTGTGTGTGGTGCTGCCGGCTCTGCCCCCCGCGCAGCCCCCCTGCCCTCTTCCTGCCGCTCAGCCCGGCCCCCGCAGGGTGACGTGGGGTGCTGGGGGTGCTGGCCGTGCCCCACGCCGGCGGAGGGACATGCCGGAGCCTCCCGGTGACGGGGGAGCGGGCAGGGAGCGGGGGCCTCTCTGCCCACGTGTGCTGCGTTCACACCAGGCCCAGAAACACGCCCCGGCCCCGGAGCTGCTGCTGCTGCTCCCAGGAAACGGCGCTCCCTGGCTCCGGGGCTGCCTCCTCCCTCCCACGCTGGCACCGTCCCCGGGGTAATGCCTGTCCCCCGGGACCGGGGGCAGAGCTGCCACCCTCACACCAGGCATGGGGGGTTTTCTGTGGGGTGTGGGTACCCAAGGGTTGGCAAAAGGGTGCCCTACAACTCCCTCATTTCACCCTAAAACCACGCAGGGCTCTTCTGCTGTGGGTGCTGGTGCCCCCCCGGGGCGGGGGGGTGTCCCCCTGCCTGGGGTGCGGGGCTGGCTGCTGCCACCCTGCCAGGGACCCGGCCCCGCTGTCACCGGCCCCGCACACCTCCCTGGGGCGGCCAGATAGCGCCGGGCACGGGGAGGGGGCCCGGGTGTGCGGCGTGAAAAAAAAGAAAAGAGAGAAGAAAAAAAAAAAAAAAGCGAAGGGAAAGGAAGCGGGGAGCGTTTCCGTGCCCGGGGCCGGAGAGGAGCCGGGGGCTGGGCTGGTGCCCCCGCTCGGATCCTGCTGCCCTCCCCCCCAGCGCCCTGGGAAACCTTCGCCCCCGGCCCCGGGGGACGTCTCGGGGGGGTTTCTTCTTTGTTTTAGTGAAAACCGAAGTGCCCCGGAGCCAGAGGAGGGCAGTGCCCGGCGTGGGGCACCCTCTGCCCCCACCTCCACCCGCAGCAGCCAGCCCTGGGGTCCCCTGACACCCCGCTTTGCTGGGGACAGCCGGAGCCCTGTGTCACCGCTGTCCCTGTCCCTCCTCTGCCCGGTCCCAGGCCCATGGGTGCCCCGGGACCCAGCCCCGGGGTGCTCAGGGTCTCTGGGCTGGGAAGGGTCTCGGGAGGCTTTGGGAAGCGGAGCTGGGCTTTGGGCTCAGAGCGGGGGCTCCAGCGCAGTGTCCTGGCAGGATGGGGGGCCCCACGCACCTCTCCAGCCTCGGTCCCCACCTTTGACCCACCCCATGATAAAGAACCATCTCCTGATGTGGTGTGTGGTGTCCCCCGCACTCCCAGGCTGGGCTGGCACCTCCTCAGCCGCCCCAGAGCAGGAACGATGGTCCCTGGCGGGGCTGGGGCAACGATGGCACCGGGACAGTCCCTCCCAGGGGGCTGTTCCTGCAGAGGATGGAGGCCACCAGGTCTGAAACCACCCACGGAGCAGGTGGCTTTGGGGCTGTCACCAGCTGGGACCACCCGAGGCAGCGAGAGGGACCTGCCGACACGCGGCCCCACGGTCCGGGGGGGAATTTTGGCTGGTGGGTCCCGTGGCCGTGGGCTCAGCCGGGGCGGAGCGGGGAGAGCTTCACGGCCCGGGGCTGGATGTGCCCCGTCCTGGGAGGAAGGGCAGCGCTGGGCTGGGCTTCAACCGGGGCTTCCAGTGCCCAGAGGTGCTTCAAAAATAAACACAGAGCATCAGCGCGGGGGTGAGGGAGAGGGGGGACCCAGAGACAGCGGGGTCACCGGCGCTGCCCCCCCGGGCTGCCGGGCAGCTCGCCCACTCCGGTACAGGCTCCAGCATCAGGGGCGGCGCCTGCCCCCCCCCCTTCCCTGCAGAAATACATGTGCTGGGCACGGGGTGTCAGCGCTTGTGTGTGTGGTGGGTTTTTTAATTAAAAACCAATTCCAGGTCTGCAAAGCGCCGCAGGAAAGGGGGACGCCGGGGACGCCGGCCGGCAGCTCCGGGGGCAGCGGGGA